ATACTGAACCAGTGACTTCCCAGTAAACAGAGCTGTGCTACATGAAGCAGATCCTGAGAGCAGACTCCCTCCACCACTATCTACTGCTGTTGGGAGTCACTCAAGGACTGGAACTACCTGTGTCCTCGATGACCACGGTGCAAAGACAGCTGAGAGTCTTACTGAAAGGAGAGGATTATGAAGCTGCCAGTCAAGGGTGGTCTTTTTTAAAAGCAGGCTAAATAATCAGCTACTGAGATATTATATGTAAAAAAGACCCGATAAGTGATTATATAAACATTTATAAATACTAATACAGTGTTCGATTTGGTTCGACAATTATTTATTGAGCACCAGTTATATGCAAAGCACTGTAGATTCAAAGACATGTCATACCTCTATCCTCAAGAAACTTAACAGATTCAATACTAAGGCAACACAGATGTGGAAACTTAAGCAAGCCTGAAGAAGCCAGGAAAGGCTTTATTGAAGAGGAGACATTTGAATGGAATCTTAGAGTTTGGGTAAGAATTATCTAGGTGAAGAGGAGCTGAGCAAAAACAGAGGCATTAAATGGTGTGGAATGTTTGTGTAACTAGAAGCTGTTTGACAATGCTGGAGCCCAAAGTATAAGACGGGAAAGAATTATAGCATGAGATGAGGCCTTATGCCATGCCATTCTTGGAGTGCCACTAAAGAACAGAGCACCCTGGGAACCAAGACCAAGGGGGAATTTGAAGTTGGGAGGCAGGAAGACTGATGAAGAGTTGGTTGAAGTAACTAGGAGATGATAAAAGCCTTTACAAAGAATGTATAAGTTGCAATAGGAATGTATAAGATACATCAGATAGCCATATTCCAGAAAAAAAAAAAGGAAGTTATTGAATGATGTTACCTGTAGGGTGGGGTCTCCTGATCTAAATATTTCTCTCAGGACCTCTTCTCATGTCTGATACTTTTACCATCAGAAAGTTCCTTCTGTAGGATCTTTAACAGTCTCCTACCCTACTAAAATGGAGTTGATCAGTGCTTTTGAGTGTTGTTCAGCTAACATTAAGATGGATTACAAAAAAAAAAGATGAATTATGAAAGTTTACTGGGAGTAAAGGCCTTGCAGGGATGAGTAGGGCTAGTCATGAGGGGAGAAGCAAAAAACTCATATATTAAAAAAAAAAAAAAATCTCAAAGGAAAACAAGGGACGAAAAGTTCAAGCTGCTAAAAAGGAGACAAAGAAACCTCATATGCCACCATTTTGGCTGGTCTGGCCCTGCTCTGCTACAAAATCCATTTTCAATTGGCTTGAGTACATTATTTCAAAACTCTTTCATGTGCGACACTTAAATTCCTATAAGGATAATAAAATAACAATAAAATAAACCCTAGCAAAGCAAGAACTGTGACTTCTGAGCTAATAAACACCATGTAGAAACAAGTTAACCCAGAAATTGGGCCTTTAGAAAGTCGCTCCAGATCTTTCCTACCCTTGACTAGACTGGCTCCTATATTTTTATTTCCAGTTAAGTGTTGTGTTTAACTTGGAAATCTGACAAATACCAAGAACTCTTACCCCATAAGCCACAGTATTATTGGGAGGATAAAACAGGACAAAAAGAGGCAAATGCTTTTGTGTGCTGTAAAATGCTTAATGAGGACACAAGCAGCCCCTCTGGCTCATAGAAGAAAAGAGGACAGACAGGTGGGATTTTGGAGTTACAGCCCTTGCAAGCATTGCTCACCAGTGCTGATAATAAAATTTTAGTCTTTCAAATGTTGATGAGCAGAACCCATAGTACCTTAAGTACCTTTCCTAAGGATTAAAATTAATGCATTAGTGAATTTAAAAGTAACACCTAAAAATAGACACTAATACATTTTTAACAAATGAGCTCTTTCTATAAAACCAGCCTCCATAATGAAATTCTTTTGTCGCAGATAAGCGTGTAAATAGAGGAAGTTACATATGATTAGAATATTAGAATCATACTTTACTAGAATTAAGAAAGGCTTAGATTATCTCTAGAGACTATCTTCCCAGCTCCCTACCATCCCCTGCCTTTCTTATAGCAGGAAAACTGAGCTAATGGTAGAACCCAGACTAAACTGCCGTTTCCTGACTCCTGGTCTAAGGCTCTTTTTTTAAATAAAATATTTCAAATATAAAGAAAGCATATTACCAAACACCCAGATTTTTAAAATGTTAATCTTTTAATTCTTTTTTTTAATTCTTTTTTTAAAAAAAAGAATTAAAATATTATACATCAGCAGATGGTTCTCATTCCTCTAGCCCATTCCCCTACCTCCCTCTCCAGAGGTTAACCACCATATTGAGGCTGCGGTGTATTCCATCCTTCCTGTTCATGTTTGTATACACTTACCAAATGATTACATGTCCATATACCACACCCTGGTTGCCAGAGAAAGAGTTTGTCTTGGTCTTCACAAAAAGAAGGAGTCCCTTACTCTAGTATGCTTACATGCAGTTAAAACCTTTGGGGTTTGGCTGGATATTTCGAAAAGAAACTAGGGCAGAGCTTAAAGTCTTTCAAAATGATTGCCACAGAAGGATCTAATGAAGTGTCTTATTATCTAAAGTGAAAAATAAATTGGGCAAATATAACAATTTTAGTATAGCTTTTTGAATCCTACTCAAGTGTTTCATATCTGTGAAAGCCTGGTTTATAACAGCCTAGGATGAATGACCTGTCACCTAAAAAGAGAGAAAGATGGATTAAGCAATTTAAATAGTAATAATAGTTTCTACTGCTTCAAGTTCAAGCTCAAATGTCACCGCCTTAATGAATGTCCTTGATCTCATCAGAATTAATTCCTTCAACAGTCCAAAGCCCTGTAGATACAACAATAGATCAGACTCAGTTCCTGCCCAGAGCCCAGAAATAATTACACAATAGTGTTTGATAAGTGTTCCGATAGAGGGTTAGTGGAGTCCAATATTTCTGGAGAAATTGGAGAAGACTTTCCATTGGAGGTGATATTTGAGCTGCATCTTGGAGGATGAGTAGGAGTTCACAAAACGGAAGATGAACGGTCATTCCAGGTAGGGAGACATTGAATGAGAGAGTACAAAGGATGGTAAGCTATTAGTTTTAAAAAGACAACTACAGGTAGATAGCAGAGGTAAGTTAGAAGACTGGTAACAATTCAAGCGAAAGATGACATGATTGTAGGCATGAGGTGAGAGGGAGGATTTTCACAAAATTCAAGAGATACATTTAGCAGAACTTGATGCTTGATTGTATGGGAGAAAGAAAGAACACAAAGGAGCTGAGAATGACTTCCAAAGCCTTGGCAAATGAGTGGGCAGTGAAGGCATTAACTAAAATAGGAAATACCATACAGAAGATAAGAGCAGGCCTGAGAAGCGGGGGTTCAAGTTCCCTCTGAGGCATTTCGAGTCAACAATAAGGCCTCTTCCCTGGGGCCTTAAATGATTTCCTTTTCTAGGCCAGAACTCAAAGCTTCCTCTGAGCTCCATAGCATATTGTGTACCTTTTTCATATCACATTATTTAAATCTGCCATAGTTCCAAGTGTGTCCCTAACTTAAATCATGAAGAGGTACGAGATCTTGTTTGTCTGTGTATTGTCCTTATCTCAGAACCTTACGTACAAAAGCCTTCAAAGTTTGCATTCTTGAACAGCCAGCCAGCTCCATCAGATACTGGAAAGTGCCAGTTAACATTTATCAAAACAATGACCAAAAGTTGAGTTAGTGGCCCACATAACACATCTAAAGTATTTGGCCCTACAACACCTACTTTTAGCTCTCTCTGTGCTTATCTTACTTTTCAACAACACTGCAAGGTAGTTTTATTCCTGTTTTACAGATAAAGCAGCAGAAGCCCCAAGCGTCTTAATAACTTCCCTGAGGTCACAAGGTTTGCAAATGGCTAAATCAGGATTTGGGCGGACTTGTTCCTTCACCATTATGCCCGTCAGAGTTAGGCTGTCCTAATTCTCGGCTGGGCTGAAAAGAGGATCTTTTTTGGTTCCTGAGAGGGCAACACCACCGGGATTGGAGGGAACTACAAGAGAGTTCTCACCCCTACCATCTCAAAACAGTCTAAAGTGCCCCTCTGCCGGCGAAGTGCCCATGGGGACACAGCCACTGCAGACGGCAGAGTTCAAAGAGTCCAGAGGGTGAACCGCTGTGCGGGGACCCAACATTTTGCAGAATTAACTTCACGAAAGCGCATGGCATCACTTGACCTTTTGCTCAAGCGACGTCCGCGCGGCCAGGGCTCCAACGCCGAACTCCAGGGTCGGAGGACGCTGCCGCCGGGACTCTCAGGGTTATAAATTCTAAGAAATAATGGGCACTGGAAGACCGAGGGGCAGCCTCCTATCCCTCGGGATACTGAAACTCGTCCCGTATCTTCCTCCGCAGTCCCATGCGGTGAGCCAGCTGGCTTGCCGACCCCATGGTACGGACCGGAGACCGAAGTCGCGGCGGGGAAAGGCCCCGCGGGGGTGCGTTAGGGCGGAAGAGGCGCTGCTATGCGCCGGCCCTGGACCTCAGACCCGCGCCGCCGCAGCATCCCTCACCGCCTCTCCAGGTACCGGGTCCCGCTCCGACATCTTGGGGCAGGTGAGAGGTGGAACGTAAAGGCGAGCAAGAGGGCAACAGAACCGCCCTGGGAACCGGCACGAGGGCCTCCGAGGGCGACGGAAGGGCGTAAGCCAGGCCCGCAGTGGGCTCCAGACGCGCGAGGGCTCCAAGCGGCCCTGCCATGGAGGGGGCGTGTCCCGGCGCGTGCCGAACGAGGCGCCAATGGCAGGGCGGGGGCGGGCTCATCCGCGAAGCCCTGGGGTGCTGATTGGCTGCGCGCTGGGGAGGCGCGAGGAGAGGGCGTGCCCTTACGAGAGACTTGCAGGTGCAGAAGGCTCGCTAGGAGAGAGGCGAGTTTGTGCGCGGGCCTGGCTGTCTCCTCCTCTGACTCCTCCCCCTTCGGATAAAGGGCAGGCAGTTTGGGCCTGGACTTCGGCCTTTGCGGACTTCAGCCATGGCCGGACCTGAGTGGGAGTCGCTGGAGCAGTGCTTGGAGAAGCACCTGCAGCCCGCAGACTTGCGGGAGGTGAAACGCGTTCTCTATGGCAAGGAGACCAGGTCTGGGGCCCGGAGGCTGGGGCGGAGGGTTGTGGACAGCGAGCGTGGGTTCGGGGGACCGTGATGACTGTTTCAGCATCTCAAGGGCTCTTTGGGGGAGTCAATGAAGTCCTGAGTGGGCTAGCAGAGACCATACGAAGCCTAGATATGAAGTTCTGGGGTGCTCAGGCGTTGCACAACGGCAGCGTGACCTCTACAAGCCACTTCTCCAGTTACCTGGATCTAGAAGAGAAAGGATGGGCTTTTTACTCCCTGAGGCTTTCTCTGTGGCCACCTAACTCTTCTGACCCGCTTCCAGTGATCAGTGTTCTCCCCAGGTCCAAGCCTGGACTCTGGATGTCTATCCCAGTCAGTGCCTCCAGCCAGAGCCCCCGGCAGATCAACTGATTGTCCAGCCCCAGCTCCTCCTTCCTGCAGTGACCGGCCTCTAGTGGACTCTTGGAGATAGAAGCCTTCTGAATCTGGTTGGCCAAGGAAACTTTCCCACTTGGCAAGCAATAGAAGTTAGTTACCACACTTGGTACAGATGTGTTCCCACTCCCAGCCAGTCTTGTGCATCACTAGGGCTTTCTGGAGATAGTGCACTGCTGAGACTGGGTATACAAAGTTGGAAGATACTTCTCCTTCTACTCTGGTTTCTATTCAGTCTTCTTTTCACAACCAGAAACTGTAAATCATATCCTGTTGCTCCTTTGCTTAAAAGTCTATGAGAGAGTTCCGTGGCTCTTAGAAGGAAATCCAAACTTTGACCCCATTCAACTCCTAACTAAATGTCCTTCCACTTCCTTGCCAATTGGCAGGCTTCCTGACCTTGGCAGTGACCTTGAGGCAGAATCTGATCAACTCACTGTAAACATGAGGGTGTTGATTGGGTCAGTGCTTCCCATCTTCCAGCTGCTGTGGAGTTACTATAAGGAGGTCAGACCTCAAATACAAAGGTGTTTTCACAGCTAGTGGATGATAAAGGTAGAACAACCATCTTTGGGGGCGGGAGGGGTACTGAATTTGGTCAGAAAGGGCTCATCATACCCAAAGAGGAGTACCAGGACTGGATGACCTTCAAGGCCCCTCTAGTGTGCTCAGGCTGGAATACCACTTTCTACCGAACCTTATCAAGGTTTATCATGGGCAAAGTCTTTTAGAGTTGAGGCTCCCAAAGAAGATGTCAAGAAGGTGTCTTAAAGCAAGGAGTGTCTCAAGCTACAGTTCCAGGGATGAGAAAAGGTTTGTTTGAAGGGTGAGGGGGTATGTTCTCTGGGAAAAAAGATAGAGGGCTCATGAGTGTCAGGGAGAGGCAAAGCGGGAAAAGAGAAATAAGTTTCCCACATAGGTGGTTGACTAGGGCACATGCTAGAAAACAGGGTAAGGACTACCTTGCAAGAAGGGCTTTGTATGAGCATTTGGGTCGCTTAGGTGTGGGGAGGGATTATAATGGGTGGTAAATTGGGACCAACGTCCATTGACCAGTGACTGCCAGGCCTCATCCTGGGGCTTGGTTCACAATAACTGAGTTAAGTGGCTCCCCATTTCCTCTTTTTCTTATTGCCTTTTCTTGGTCTGTTCCACTCAGCACTGAGCCCTTCCAGGCTTTACTTCTAGGGCATAAACCTTTGTACTTGTTCAGTTCTTGCGATAGAGTAGGATTTGGCTATAAATGGGATTGCAAACTAAAGTAGGAAATGAATCATTTAAAACATCTTCTCCCACTTAAACTCCAGTTCGGTCCTCACAGCCTGACTTGGACATGGCTGCCTCTGTGACAGCCCGGTGGAGCCTGAATCCTCAGCCCCTCCCCTGGACTCCCTTTGCACTCCACACAAGCCCACCTTCTCTCCTGTGACTTGTTCTGCCCAACACAAAGATGATGCTTAGTAAGCGTTTGCTAAATGAATGAGCTAAATAGGCCTTTGCCTCTGCCAGACAGATGAAATCCCCAAAGAACATCAACTCTCAATTTTAAGACAGCTAGAACCAAGAAGCATTTGTTCATTCAACAAACATTTATTGAGCGTTTATTTTTGTCTCAGGCACTGGGGATACAAGGATGAGTAAGCCATTGTTGCAACCCTCAGGGGACTTTCTTCGAATGGTTATCCTGTATCGTGAGAGAAAGATGCAGGGAGAGCTAGAGAATCTACATGTACAAGGTTGGGGCAGGTCAAGAAGGCATCCCAGAGGCGCCACGCTTCAGCTGCAACCTGAAGGAGATGGAGGAGTTCTTTTGGAGACAGGAAGGGTTCAGGTATTCTAGGCCAAGGCCCGGACACCAGGGGACATGCTCATTTGGAGACTGTGGGTGTAGAGTACTGTAGGGTTCACCCGAGCGGGGAGGCAGGAGTAGCTGGGGTGAGTCCTGGGGGCTCTGTATGCCATGCTGAGGCAGAAGGACTTGTCTTGATGGTGATGGGAGCCTTTCAAGAATTTGAAAAGGACAGGTGAAGGATGAGGAGGCCTAAAGCAAACAGAGTGTCTGAGGGTGGAGAGGAAGAAGGGTTCCAGAGGTCTCAGGGAGGTCAGTGGACAACGTGGCTAGCAGGTGTGGCAGAGGAGGCAGGATCATTCCAGCTTCTGGTTTGCACACTCAGGTGGCTGGTGGATTCATCTGATGAGAAGCAGTTTTGGGAAAGGCTGGTGAATTGGATGGGGAATGCTGTTAGCTTCCTAGGGCTACTGTAACAAATTATCACACACTGGTAGCTTAAACCAAAAGACATTTGTTCTCACAGTTCTGAAGACCAGAAGTACAAAATCAAGGTGTTGGCAGAGCCATACTGCTCCAGAGGCCCCGGGGGAGAATTCTCCCTTGCCTTTTCCAGTTTCTGGTAGCTTCTGGCATTCCTTGGCTTATGGCAGCATCACTCCCATCTCTGCCTCTGTCTTCACATGGCCTTCTCCTTATGTCTCTCCTCTGGGCATCTCTTATAAGAACACTAGTCACTAGATTTAGGGCTCACCCATATAATTCAGGATAGCCTTATCTTGAGATCCTTAATTACATCTGCAAAGTTCCTTTCTCCAGATGAGGTCCCGTTCACAGGTTTTAGGTATTAGGATATGGACATATCTTTTTGGGGGCCACAGTTCAACCGACTATAGGGACCATGAGGAGATGGGCCTCAGCAGGGAGGCAGAGCTTGGGGTGGTCCCAAAGATGATTATTTCAGGTGAAGGAGGAAGGAGTGCAGAGTGGGATTCTGGAGAACCTGATGTTAAAGGGGCCAGAGGAAGCAGAGGCTTTGTGGGAGATTCTAGAGGCCAGGATGCAGTGGTAGGGGGCCCTAGGGTGGGTAGCAAGGATGCTGAGTGGGACAGAGTCAGAGTGTCTGGTGGCATAAGATCTGGTAGGATGAGGACAGCAGGGAGTCTACTGGCTTTAGCAACCAGAAGGCTGGTGGCTCAAGGTGGGGTGTGGGGGCCTGAGAACAAGGGCTGAGGAAGGTGTGGCAGGTGAAGATTGCAAGGAAGCTTCCAGCAGAGGGGAGGGGAGAGAGAGCAAGCGAGGTAATAAAAGGGACCTGTGTAGAACCTGTTCTCCCCCTCCCCCTCCTTTTTTTTTCCCCTAGTTTTTTAATGGGAGAGACTCAATCAGCTTTAGTGGTGTATATGGTGGGTCTATGCCGGACAGAGATGTCCAAGCCATGTGTATTGTTAAGTGAAAAAGGCAGGTGGGAGAGCAGAATATACAGACTGATGCTATTGTATTTATAAAACACGTACAGAAAGAGAAATATCGGGAAGGTACATAAAACATTGTTAAGAGAGGTCATCTCTGAAGTTCAGGACTGGGGCTAAGGGATGGGATGGAGAGGGAGACTCATTTTTCCTTTGATAACTTTTTCCACTGTTCGATTTTTTTTTTTCTCCCATGAATATGTGTTTCTTTCGTAACAAAGCTCTAGTTTAATTATTTAAAATGCTGATGGTAAAGAGCCATTAGAAGGGGAAAGATGAAGTTCCAGAAGTGAAAGGTTACTGAAGAAGCAGGAGCTGAGTTCCCTCAGGCAAGGTCTGCCTTGAGCCTGGGCGGAGATGTGGGGGCCCAGCGGAAGGGGTGGGGCGGGAGGGTGTCTTGGGGCTAAGTAGTGGGCTTTCCTTGAAGTTGGAAGTGAGAGGTGGGGCCCTTAGTAGCAGGATGAGGGGCAGAGGGGCAGAAAGCCAACTCTGGAGACCAAGGGAGGGTAGTGGGCAGCACAGATCCTCCACCCCTCCTATTCGCCCTCCCCCCAGTGAAGTCGTGGCTCATTTGCTGGTCTCCGCCCCTCCTGGGCCATGGCTGATCTGTGCCTCACCACATCCCCGAGACAAGCCTTTGGTAGACACAGCACATGTTTATGGAATGGGGCTCGAGGTTGGTTGGGTTCCCCAAGACTCAGCGATGGGCCCCCTGTTTCAGAGCAGGGTGGGGAAACCTCGCAGGGAACTGGGGCGGTGCAAAGATGGAGGCAGCACTCAGCATAGATGGTGAGGAGGCAGGAAGGTCGTATATCTTGGAATAATGAGGCTGATGGCGGTGGAAAGATGGGGAGAGCAGACAGCTGTGGGCTGGATGGGGAGAGATGACCAGAGACTGAGGGACATCATCCAAGTGATGGTTATAGCAGGGCTCGCAAACTCAAAACAAGACCTCATCTGCCTGATATCTTCCTGGGGTGAGACCTCAGGCGGAGGGTGGGGCTGCCAGGAGCTCTCTCAAAGGGCAGTCCGGTTCCCTGGCCCATAGGCCTTAGGGGAAACAAATACACCCTTCTCTCCTCCTGTCCAACACAGAGACTTAACCTGGGGTGGAGGCCTGCCGAGATGGGGGGCCCTGCTGCCTGAGGGCAGGAGGACTATCTCTGAGGCAGTCACGGCAAAAGAAGGCACAGTGTGGGCTCTGCTGGGGGCACTTGCTGTTATTTCCAACCCGCTGAAGCTAACAGAACCCTGACTAGTTGAAAAGCAGGCTGATTGTCAGGGGTGGAACCCAACGCTGAGCTGTCAAGGAGATCACATGGAAACCGCCTGGCAGGGGGCGGCGACAGGGGGCTTGGGCTGACAGGGCTGTGATTTTGAAAGAAACATCTTTAAGAAAGTGACTTAAAGTAGGAGGGAAATATTATTATTAGATAATGGCTGTCAGGTTATTTTTTGATGTGTTCTCTGGGTATTTCATAACCATCTCATCCCTAGATGGTAAGGCCTTCCTGGCCAGGGGTCAAGCCCCCATCCCCCTGTGGGTTTGGCCTCCATCCTGGGCACAACAGGCATCAGAGGTGTTTGGCCAATGGTTACTTCAGTGGGAGGTTTCGTAAATAATCCACTTGCCTTTGTTAATAAACCACAAACCAGGATGAGTGCTTGGGCCTTTGGTCTGGACACTTGGGCCCCCACCAAGCCCCAGCACGTGCATGGAACACTCTCCACACACACACCAGCCCCGTTCTCTGGCAGGAGCAGCAGCAAAACAGGACAGTGGGGACACTGGAGACCTGCAATCCCTGGTGGTGAAGGGTCACAGGGCCTTCCCTCATGCCTCAGCCCTGGCCTTTCCACCCAGCCGTATCTAGAACTCGTCTGGGCATCCATTCCCTCACTTCTGTGCTGACCGCTGAGACTTTAATCCCCACCCTGATTTCAGCATCTCTAAAAGGTCAACTCTCGACGAGTCACCTGCCGCTCCCAACCCTCACCCTGCTTCCTCCTTTGGCCAGGCCTGACCACTGCCACCCCGCTGCTGAAATCTCCCCAGTGACTGACGAAGTCCACACTCTGTGTGTGTCGTGCGGTGTTCGTTCCCGCCCAGCCAGGCAGGCCCCCCCTCTCTGCCAGGCCCCGCTCCAACTCCCCATGCTCTGGCACTGGCTGCTCTGTTTGCCTTCTAACCAGGACGCAGCACCTCTTCTCTACCCGATGAAAGACTGTGGGGTTGGGGAAATTTTAAATTCCGCACGCCTCATGCAAATCATCTCCCCTCTTCTTTCCTGCCCATTTAGGAAGCTAGACCTGCCCAGCAGGGCTTTTGAATTCGCCTCCGAAAGGGACTTTGAGCTGCAGGGCTACGCCTTCGAGGCCGCAGAGGAGCAGCTGAGGCGACCTCGGACCGTGCGTGTGGGGCTTGTTCAGAACAGAACTCCCCTGCCTGCAGACGCCCCTGTGGCGAAACAGGTGCAGCCTCTTTTGACCGTAAATACATAAACAGGCCATGGCCCATTTATTCTGTGTTTTGAACACACCCAACAGTGCCCTGCTGGCCACTCACTCGAGGTCCGCAAGCACATCGAGTGGTCAAATGGTCGCCCAGATACTTCGGCCCTAGCCACCCCACTTCCCTGTGTCTCTGGCTCCTCCTTCTCTTCTGGCTCCTCCCCTTTCTCTGCCTCCCTCTCACTCCTCACTGTCCTTTCCACCTACCCCTCACTTCCTCTCCTGTGATTGATCCATTGTTCCATTTACCAGTTGAGATGGGGCCCTTTTGGCTGGCTCATGCTCTCTCCAGGGAACTCTGCCTCTCAGTCTCCTGCCAAAAGGCCACTTGCCAACGCACGCCAGTCAGGACCCATCCGTCCGTTGATGCGTTTCTCTGCCTTGTTCCTAAGGGCGAGACTCACCATACTCAGATGTCTGTCAGCTGATGGTGCCTGCAGGGCTGCAGGCATTTGCTTATGATCTTCTTATGATCTGACTATTACTATCAATGTGATGGCACGTTGTATTTCCCTAAAGAAATATGTTTTCACGGACGCAGGTGGTTTCTCGTATACACTTCACCACTTTCCTCCAGCTGCTCAAACTTTCCAGGCCTTCTCTGCAGACGTAGCTCCAGATAGAGCATGCTTGAGAATTCTCAGGGATTCTAGAGAAACCTAAGGTCAGTTGGATTCCAGGTTGGGTTCTGCATTGTCTTTCACGTTGGTTCTTCCTCAGCTTTTGTTGGATTAAAAGATTTCTGGTTCTCTGTTCACCTTTTGTCTCCAGGTTAGTTGACTGTGAACATGTGTCCTCGACTGTCCCAGATTGTCAGGTCGTCAAAGGCAAGGGTGCTGTTTTCAGCCCCAAAACGCCTAGAAGCACTTTTTGCCTACTGTTGCTCCCTGCCCCGGGAACATCTGTGGGGCCCTGGCGTGCAGTCTCACAGGGGAGATAGAGAGCACTGTAAAAAATCTGTGCTCTCCGGGTTTTCAGCCTGGTTCCTCTGGTCTTTCTTTGAACAAACACTTCCGACTGTCTCCTGGGAGCCAGCTGTTGTGCTGAGGACACAGAGAAGATGAGGACACTTTCCCCCTGCTCTGAAGGAGCTCATGGGGTCATGGGAGCGACAGACAGTGGGAGAACATGACAGCACAATGGGAACAACACCACCAAAGGGGCACACGTAGGCTGGGGAGCACAGAGGTACCTCAATACTCCTGGGAGAGTCTCCCCTCTGTGAGTGACACGTGACATGGATAATCCTCCCCATCCAGGGAGGAGGATTGGGTGGGGGAAGGAAGCACATTCCTGGCCAAGGGCACAGCTGGGAAAGGCAAGTCATTCGATGATAAGGTACACACAAAAATAAAAGTGGCAGGACGAGGCATCCCCAAAGCCTTGAATGCAGGGTGGTGGAAAGGGGACTGTGTCCTGGGGCGAGGGAACAGTTTCCGCAGGGAATGGTCCTGGTCTTACAGTAAGCAGCACACAAGGCAGGCAGTTCTCCCCATTCTCTAGACAAGGAAACCGAGGCTCAGAAAGGCAGCGTTGAGTGTGTGGGGGACCCCAGAGGCTCTGCAGCTCCCCGTTTTGTGGCAGATTTTGGACCTGACGACAGTATGAAATATCAGAACTTCCCCACCCTGCTCATCCTCTTGCAGCTCGTTGGATGAGGGTGGTTGTGCCAAATGC